AAATGACACCACTCGTTCTGTTAAATCCCAATATTCAGCACACAATTTTTTTTTTTTTTTGTCTTGTTACAACCACTCTAACTATTTGTGTCTATCAATACTCCCACTAACCTATAATGATGACTTTATCCAGGGTCTGAACAAACAAAACAAAACAAAAAAAACCCACAAATTTCATACCAACTGGTTATTTATTAAATAAATTAAATATATATCAGAGTATACGTTAAATAGGATCAGTGACTTGGCTATGAACTGAATTTTACTAATAATTTATTCATTTACTAAAGGTGAACTTTTGCACTTTAGGTGTGACGATTTACAGCAGTGTGGTAAAATAATCGTTATCTGCAGGGTTACTGCAGGAAAAGTACAGGAGATATGAAAAAAACATGAGCTCATACACAGTATTTACCTTCAAAAGACACGCATACATAAAATAAGATAACATAAAAGTAGTTATTTGTGTTAATGTTACCACTATGGCTATTTAGCATCGTGCTAAGGCTGCAGCAGCTCAGCCTTGCGTTACAAACGAAGGGCAGATGAAAAATAATAATTTTGACTTGCAGCTACAATAAAACCGTAAGACACACTGTCGACATTTAACTTACCTTCTAAATTTGGTCAATATAGTTCAATGCTCCACGTAAAGCTGAAAACACGAGCAGAATTAAATCAGAAACACCAAACTGTGAAAATGTGACAGCTAACTCGCTAGCTCAGAGGTCATTTGCAATAGTTCCGGGTTAACTACGGAGCGGGAGGAGGCTCAAACATCTTCCAAGCGCCTTCAATCCCAATTTTAAAAATTTTTATTTTTATTTGAAATAATTGAGTAAACTTTTGTGTTTAATTTTATAAGGTTTAATTTTATAACGCTGATTATCGGGTTGTTTTAAATATATATGTTATTTTTTATTCTGACTTTATTTCACTTTCACTATCTTACTGAGGTCGACGTGAGAATAATAACACGCCGATAAATTGCATAATAAATCATTATACAAATTTAACGCCAAAAAAACGAAAAAAAGTAACAAACAAAAAACATTAAAGCAAACAACAACAAAAAAAAAACAAAAAAACATAAATCTCCGCCTTCACATCAAGGACTCCTCCCTCTGAATGGAGTCTTTAAAACAACTTCTCAAACCGGTTAGTTCACCTTTCGAGGAATAAATTCTGTCGGATTGAAGCGCAGGGGTTGTGAAGATGTTTTCAGCCGCTACATGGACTTTGTTGGCTCTCTTTTTCACCTTGTTGTTGCTGTGAGTGCTCTGCACCGTTCCCTCTTTCTGTCAGACAGTTTTTCCGTATGTACTTTCAGTTGTTGGTTGTTTGGTCCCTCATGATGTCTCTGGTTTTGTTTTGAACACAGCTATGGGATCTGGCCTTATAGGTTTTTTAAAAAGCTTGGCATCTCCGGACCCAGACCTCTTCCTTTTATTGGAACAATGCTGGGAGTAAAAAA